TTTTAAGTCGCATGTTTTCATGCGATATCGCATAGACCGTGCGAGAGGCCGGGTAGAAGGGTTTTAAGTCAATTTTGACTATGTTTTCATTATTTGGTATTTTGGAGCTCAGCTCGAGGCAATATTTTGGAGAGATTTTAATCACCACGGTAACGGCTCGGCTGGTCATTTTTTGTATTTAAGCCGTTCTCCCTATTTGATGCTTCCCGTATGCTTGATTGTTGTTTTGTGACTTTTAGGGATGGTTGGTTTGGTTACGGGGAGGTTTGATAGTAAATCAAAACAATTAGTTCTATTGGTGGAAGCTTAAGTTGTAAGAGTTGACCAATATTTGACTTTTTTTATAGATGACCTCAAATTGGTGATTTGATGGTTCCTACAAGTTCGCATGGAGATTTTGGACTTAGTCATATGTTCGGATTTTGATTTGGAAGTTCATAGGATGTTTTGGCTCTATTTTCCTAAAGTAGGCACTTTGAATGTCTGGAGAGTTCCTAATTCTGAATGGGAGTTGATTTTGGATGATATCGGGTTCGGATTCTTGTTCCCGAAGTTAAGATAGGTTTGTTTTTTCATTTGGGACTTGTGTGCAAAGTTTTGTTGTAATTCGGAGTGGTTAATCTTGAATCGGACGCTTGGCTTGAAGTTGGAAGTTCTTGAACGTAAGAGAACTTCAACTTGTGGTTTGATCCTTATTTCTTGTCGTGATGTTATTGTATGTGTTTGGAGGCTTTGGATAAGTTCAGGTAGTGTTTATGGACTTGTTGGTGTGATTGGCCGGGGTCCTGGGTGGCTCGGCTAAGTTTCGGACCACCCAGAACAAGTTTGGAGTTGGTTGATTCTGTTGGTGTCTGGTGTTCATCACATTCGTGGGTGGAGCCTCGCATTCGCGATGAAGGATATGGTGTTGGGAAGGTTTTGTTCTTCATGTTCGCGACTGGGCTATTGTGTTCGCGAAGGGGACTGGGAGCTAGAAATTTGGCCTTCGCAAATGCGAAGGCTTGGCCGCGTTCGCGTAGGGAGGCATGATTTGTGCATCGCGTTAGCGAGAGACTTTACGTGAATGCGAAGGGTATTTTTGGGGCCATAAGCCGTTGTGCTTCGCAAACGCGTGGTACATGCAACGTTCGCGAAGAATACCCATGGGAAGTGCATTTAAGTGATGAATTTCAGGATTTTAGCCATTCTTTCATATTGTTTAATCCTAGACTTGGGAAAGGTGATTTTGGCTTGGATATTTTCACACAAGACTTTGGGGTAAATGATTTCAACTCATTTTTGGTATTGTTTCAAGAATCTACATTGATTTTTAACACCCAAAACATGAAATTTTGAGGAAATTTTGGGAGTTTTTCCAACAACTTAAGAGAGTAAAATTTGGGGTTTTGAGCTATGATTTGGATTTCATTTTTGAATCTAATGACATATTTATACTCGTGGGGTTATGGGTAGTCGGGATCTACCTCTTGACTTGGGTTTTGACTATATGGGCCCGAGTTGGCTTTTATTGACTCTTGGGGATTTGATTGTCACGCCCCGACCTCGGGGAGCGCGACCGGCACTCAATCGAGATAACCCGGCCAAGCAAGCTTGTACAATGCCTCCTACCCAAACTCACCCATGAATAAAGAGAAGATATATTTCATTTCTTAGGCAACAAGGAGGTTACATGAACAGTCCAAATTTCATTACCGTTAGAACTTCATTCAAGATCTCCCAAAATATTACATTACACATTCATAGTTTAGAAGTGGAAACATACGATACAAATACAACATTACTACTTTGACTTTTCCGACACCAACATACAACCCACACTATGTCTACAGAGCCTCTAATAGATACAAAAGAGTACTATGATACTTGTGAATAAAATTCGGTTTAAACGTGTGTTAATTGATCCAGTTAGCTTGGTCAACATCATTCGATCAAGAGTCGTGGAGCAACTCGGTCTACAAGACCAAGTCGTACTTGCGGTCCGAGTCCTGAATGGTAGTGCCAACAACAAGGCCCCGATTATACCTCAAAACATAATACACGAGGAACAAAAGATATACGACCCCGAGATGAAGTGGGGCTCACCAAGTCAGTTGGGAGGAGGGTGCACTGCTATCACTGATCAAAGCCGCCTGCTATGGAACCACCTGCATCCATTAAAGATGTAGCGCTCCCAGCAAAAAGGGACGTTAGTACATGACGAATAGTACTAGTATGAAAATCAAACACCCCTTTCAAGGATTAGAAGTAAAACATGAATGTGATGAATCATGGAAGCAATAAAAGAGTTTAAATAGCCATTAAAACCACAGCAAATTCAGTTAAAGCTTTCAATAACATTTATGAATTTCAAGTTGGGGATCCTCTATAACAACCTCTACCATAATACCACAATCTCTGCACAAAGCGGCCCTGCCGCCTCACCCCAATGTGTGCGGGTGGTGTAATCACAATGCCACAATCTCTACACAAAGCGGCCCTGCCGCCTCACCCCAATGTGTGCGGGTGGAGGTATAATCACAATGCCACAATCTCTACACAAAGCGGCCCTGCTTCCTCACCCCAATGTATGTGGGTGGAGGTGTAATCACAGTGCCACAATCTCTACACAAAGCGACCCTATCGCCTCACCCCAATGTGTGCGGGTGGAGGTGTAATCACAATGCCACAATTTCTACACAAAGCGGCCCTTCCGCCTCACCCTAATGTATGTGGGTGGATCTGTAATTACAATGCCACAATCTCTACACAAAGTGGCCTTGTCGCCTCACCCCAATGTATGCAGGTGGAGGTGTAATCACAATACCACAATTTGGATTCTTAAAACGATAATAGTTTGTACAAAAGATTTCTTTTCAAATCAAACCCTTTGGAACCTTTGGCCTTAACAAGTAGAAGTTCATAAGATTTCATCATATGAGACGTAAGAATTTGATCACATTGATTTTGTACAAAACTTTCTTTCCGAAAAGGGGTATAACATATTTAAGTCATAATAGAGAATCATTAACACATGAGGGTTCTGACACGTTATGAAATTTGAGAATCAATTTACTAGCTTGAATATCTCACTTCAATGGTGTTTCAAGTTCGAACCACACACGATGGAGCCATCTAAGAATACGGGAATTTCGATACTAGAAGAAGAGTTTAGCCTTCATACCTCGAAAGAGATTTTCGTTGTGTAACGATAACGTCCCGACACTCATAACAATGCCAATCTATAGAATAGGGGATAATTACAAGCGCGATTAGAGGAATTCGTATGGCAAGAGCTACCACAATGACAACCCAACCTTTCCTCAACCAATTCAACAACAAAACCACCCAAGATTGTCCAACAACTTCCCCACAATCCCTATGAGCTCATGCATGTGTTAAGTCTACTCTCATCACCCATAACCAACCCAAATCTGATAAAATTGGAGAATTGGGGGAAGAAATTCTTACCTTTTAGAAACCCTAGCAAGTTCCTCTTGATAAAATTCCAAGGCTTGATTAGAGTTCAGTAATGAAGTCCTTGAATCCTCCCCTTTCTCTCTCAAGAATAGCTCTCTTCCCTCTCTAAAATATCAGATAATCCCTCAAATATGACCCCTATGGCTATATAAAACGAAATGGGGTCGAGTAATAAAAATAGAAAAATGGACCCTCCGAACTCAACTCTACGGTCGTAGAGTGCATCGCAGATCAGGTCTGCAGCCCGCAAAATGGACCGCAGAAATTGTCCCAAAAAACTGGTCTGGTTTGGTCCAGTCTATGGCCAGATCTGCGGTCTGCGTACCAATTATGCGGCCACAGAATGGACCGTAGAATCTCCCCCAAGAAATCTTCATGCTAGTTCTGTGACGGATGTGCGGCCTACGAAACGACTATGCGGTCTCATAGTTGATTGCAAAACAAACTCCAAAGGTTGCCCATTTCTCTGCTTCACTCTGCGGCAGATCTGCGGTCCGCAGATCAGTTCTACAGTTGTATAATGGACCGCAAAAATGCCCTGTTTTGCAAATTATTTTCTTCAACTCCCCAACGCGTTGTTTAACCCAAAAAGTCCGTACTGTGGCGAGCAAGTTTGCCGCGGATATTTCTAACCATAAAACCCCGGGTTTTAGGTTAAATTTTATGGGGCCTTACATTGATTAAAGATTGAAGCTTTATTGTTTGGTATTGATTCCTATGGATTTGTCGGATGTTATTGAGTTGTTGTTTGCTAGATGACAGCCGGTTGGAGGTGGTTTCTAAGGGGATGGCATTTTTGGAGTATTGATCTGGCCCGTTTGACGTAAGTATATTGCCTAATCTTGTGTGAGTAAATAACCCTTAGGATGAGACTTTATTTGTCTAATTGTAATGTGGGTAAAGCAACGTATATGCGAGGCAACAAGTGTATATGCGGATTCTAGGTTTCTACTATGCGTTAGTTTGACTCTAGGCTTCTACTATACGTTAATTTGACTCTAGGCTTCTACCATGCCTTAATTTGATTGTGTGATCTCTATATTACATGTGTAATCCTATTTATGACTACATGAGCTTATCCATTCATACTAGAGATCATATCTAGGATTATTATCTCCTAATTATCCAAGATGGGCATTTGTGGAATAATTGCTATATTGATTTAGCCATAGTCATGTTTCACATCTTGAGCACACATCCACACTTAATTATTTTCATGTCCTTGTGCACCTTATTGATGAATTGTGAGCATATATCTCTTTGATGATAAATTTTTACCCTGGATTGATATGATTTTTGGCACATATGGACATGTTGAGCGGATTGGTTTGGTGTTGGCACGAGGTCTCTTCTGTATGGATATTATGGTGTGCTGATGTTGTGGCATGATGTTTTTGCCATGTGATTATGATGATGTTGTTGTTGTTATGGCAAGAGGTATTTGCCGTACGGATTGAAGATAGTGTTATTTTATGGCATGAGGTCTTTGTTCTGCGGTTAAGATGATATTGTTATTGTTATGTCATGAGGTCTTTGCCGTGCAGCATGTGTATATGGATCCATCCCCCTAGGGTCTCCTTCTCATGTTTCTCTCTTGATGGCGTTCATGCGGATTGTGGTACCTTGACTGATGTTGATTGATTCTGTTGTGGAGGCAGTTGATAATGACTGGAGTGTAAGGGTGGAAGCTTGGCCATGCAAGGGAATCCTTTATGCTTTGTTATGCAATTTTATATACTTTTATGTTAGATTTTAACATGCTACTCTATGCCTCTGTTATTGAATGATAATTCTATTGTCAAGATTGATTTAGCTGTGTTGAGTTGATAACTCTTGTTTTATTGAGTTGATGATACTACATTCAATTATATTCTCGTTGCAAGTTATTTTGTATATTCCACATGTTCTTTGATTAGTGAGTATCACATGACTTGAACCTTGTCATTACTTTATCGAGGTTAGTCTTGATACTTACTAAGTACATGTTGTCCTGTACACATACTACGCTGCTGTATGTTTTGTGCAGATCCGGGAGTTGGCAGCAGTGGATGTTGAGAGTGAGATTTTGATTGATCGAGAGGATTCACGGTATTGTTGCATGGACGTCACAGACCCTTGGAATCTCCTTCCTTTATCTTATGATATTATTTTTCATTCAAATTGTTTAGTACTATTGAGACATATTATGTATTTGGTTTTAGAGCTCATGACTCTGTACTACCTGATTTTGGGAGTTTGGTTTATGTATTACTGTATTAGCTATTGTTGGAGCTTTATACTACTATTTATGTTAATTCAGTCTTTTAATATCTTTTTTTGCTATTTTATATTATTGTGTGATTGGTTGACCTAGTCTTGGAGGTTAGGTGCCATCATGACCTTTGGTGGGATTTTGGGTCTTGATAAGTTGGTATGAGAGCCCTAGGTTCATAGGTTCTACAAGTCATGAGCAAGTCTAGTGAAGTCTTTCGGATCGGTAAAGAGACGTCTTTACTTATCTTCGATAAGCTACCAGATTATTAGGAAGCTTGACTTTGTTTCATTCTTTATTGTGCGGATTTGTTTATCCTAAAGTTTGAACCTTTACCTTCTATTCTCTCACAGATAGTGAGAACACATTCTACGAGAGCAACTGATAAGGCAATAGTGCCCCCTGTCAAAGCCGTGGGAGGCCGGGGACAGGGTAGAGGCCGTTGTGGAGCCACCAGTAGCTCCAGCTGAGGAGTAGGTGCCTGATCACGTTGAGCAAGTGGGAGCAGCTCAGGCACCAAATGGACCCACTGCTACACCTAGACTTTAGGAGACTTTGGCTCACATTATGAGTATGTTTGAGAGCTTGACTTAGGTAGGATTGATTCCAGTTGCACCGGTACTTCATAGGATGGGGGAGGAGCCCAGACTCTCGTTGCATGTACACCAGAGCAGCTGCCTCATATTTATCAATCCTCGGGTGTTCTACTATTGCAGCCAATGGTTGCAGTTCAGTTCGAGATAAGGATAGTCTTATCTACTGAGGAGCATAAAAGGATGGAGAGGTTTCAGTGACTTCTTCCTCCACATTTTAGTAGAGAGCCTACTGAGGATGCACAGGATTTCTTGGATAAGTTCTATCGTATTCTGTGCACTTTGGGTTTTGTGGAGTCAAACGGGGTTGATTTTACTACCTTCCAACTATCGGGGCAAGCATACAGATGGTGGCAGACTTATGAGTTGAGTAGGCCAGCTGGAACAACACCACTCACATGGTCTCAGTTTTAAGTTCTATTCTTGAAGGAGTTTATCCCACAGACTTGCATGGATGTGTCGCGTAGTGTGTTTGAGCATTCATGCCCGGATGGTATAACTGTGACCGAGTATGCTATGAGGTTTACAGAGTTATCGTGCTATGCAAACTTTTGGTTACTACTGAGAAGGAGAGGGTCTGTAGATTTGTTGAGGGACTCACCTGTAGCTTTAGGTTTGGGATGGCCTGTTCTCGAAGATTGATTTGAGGTCGGGGTATCATCAACTGAATATTCGGGATTCTGATACTTTGAAGATAGCTTTCAGGACCCGCTATGGTCACTACGAGTTTCTTGTGATGTCTTTTGGGCTGACCAATGCACCACCTTTATGCACCTAATGAACAGTGTGTTCCAGCCATATCTTGAGTCTTTTGTCATAGTATTCATTGATGATATATTGGTGTACTCACGCAGCTAGGAGGATCCTGAGCGGTATCTGAGGATTGTATTCCAGACCTTGAGGGAGAAGAAGCTATATGCTAAATTTTCCAAGTGTGAGTTTTGGCTTGATTCGGTGGCGTTTCTGGGAAACGTGGTGTCTAGTGAGGGGATCAAGGTAGATCCAAAGAAGATTGAGGCAGTTCAGATGTGGTCCAGACCGTCCTCAATTACTGAGATTCAGAGCTTTCTTGGTTTGGCAGGTTATTATCGCCATTTCGTAGAGGGTTTCTCGTCTATTGCTACACCTTTAACTAGATTGACTCATAAGGGTGCCCCATTCAGGTGGTCTGATGACTGTGAGGAGAGCTTTCAGAAGCTCAAGACTCTCTTGACCATAACTCCGGTTCTAATTTTGCTGTCAGCATCGGGTTCTTATACATTTTATTGTGATGCTTCGCGGATTAGCATCGGGTGTGTCTTGATGCAGGAGGGTAGGGTAATTGTTTATGCTTCACTTCAACTGAAGCCCCATGAGAAGAACTACCCCGTTCATGATTTAGTGTTGGCAGCCATTGTTCACGCATTGAAGATTTGGAGGCACTATCTCTACGGCATGCCTTGTGAGGTATTCAAAGATCATCAGAGTCTACAACACTTGTGTTAGCAAAAAGATCTAAACTTGAGGCAGCAGAGATGGTTAGGTTTGTTAAAAGACTATGATATCACCATTTTGTTTCATCCCGAGAAAGCCAATGTGGTGGCCGATGCCTTGAGTAAAAAGGATGAGAGTATGGGTAGCCTTGCATATATTCAAGTTGGTTAGTGATTTCTAGCATTGGATGTTTTGGCTTTGGCCAATCAATTCATGAGGTTAGATGTTTCGAAGCCTAGTCGGGTTCTTGCTTGCGTAGTTTTTCGGTCTTCTTTGTATGAGTGCATCAAAGGGCGTCAGTATGGCCAACCCCATTATCTTGTCCTTAAGGACACAGTGCAGCATGGTGATGCCAATGAGGTTTCTATTAATGATGATGAGGTATTGCAGATGTAGGTTCAGATTTGCGTGCCCAATGTGGATGGGTTACGGAGCTGATTCTTGAGGAGGCCATAATTCACGGTACTCCATTCATCCGGGTGCCGCTAAGATTTATCAGGATTTGAGGAAATACTATTGGCGGAGACGAATGAAGAATGATATAGCGGAGTATGTGTCTCGGTGCTTGAACTGTCAGCAGGTGAAGTACGAGCATTAGAGGCGGGCGGTTTGCTGTAGAGACTTGAGATTCCCGAGTGGAAGTGGGAGTGTATTACCATGGATTTCGTTGTTGGGCTCCCACGGACTTTGATGAAATTCGACGGTGTGGGTTATTGTAGATTGACTGACCAAGTCTGCATACTTCATTTCGGTTGTGGTTACCTATTATTCAGAGCAGCTGGCTCAAATCCATGTCTGTGAGATTGTTCGTCTTCATGGTGTGTCAGTGTCAATTATCTCCGATCGAGGCACGTAGTTCACATCGCACCTTTAGAGGGCTATGCAGTGTGAGTTATGTACACATGTTGAGTTGAGTAAATCATTTCACCCCCAGATAGACGGGCAATCGAGTGAACCATTAATATATTGGAGGATATACTACTTGTCTGTGTTATGGATTTCAGGGGTTCATGGAATCAGTTCTTACTGCTTGCAGAGTTTGCCTACAACACTAGCTACCAATCGAGTGTTCAGATGGCTCGTTTTGAGGCCTTATTTTGGAGGCGATGTCGTTCTCCAGTTGGTTGGTTTGAGCCAGGAGAGGCTAGGTTGTTGGGCACTGATTTGGTTCGGGATGCCTTGGAGAAAGTCAAGTTGATTCAGGATCGGCTTCGGACAACACAATCCAGGCAGAAGAGTTATGCTGATAGGAAGGTTCGTCATGTTGCATATATGGCTATGGCGGGTGAGAAGTTGTTGCTCAGAGTTTCACCCAAGAAGGGTGTGATGAGGTTCAGGAAGAAGGGCAAGTTGAGCCATCGGTATATTGGTCCTTTTGAAGTGCTTGAGAGAGTGGGAGACGTGGCTTACAGACTTGCATTGCCACCTAGTATATCAGGTGTTCACCTAGTGTTTCATGTTTCTATGCTCCGAAAGTATTATGGTGATCCGTCACATATTTTGGACTTCAGCACGGTATAGCTGGATGGGGATTTGACTTATGATGTGGAGCCGGTGGCCATTTTGGACGTGCAGGTTTGAAAGTTGAGGTTGAAGAATATAGCATAAGTGAAAGTTCGTTGGAGAGCTCAGTCGGTCGAGGAGGCTACTTGGGAGGACAAACGGGAGATGCGGAGCAGATATCCACACCTATTTGAGACACCAGATATGATTCTAGACCCGTTCGAGGACAAACATTTATTTAAGAGGGGGAGAATGTAATGACTTGGTCCGTCATTTTAAGTATTGTAGCCATGTTCCCCTATTTACTACTTCTTTTATGTTCATTTGTAGTTATGTGACTTGTCAGGGTGGTTGGTTTGGTTTCGGGGATGTTTTGGAGTGAATTGGGACACTTAGTCCCAAGGTTGGAAGCTTAAGTTGGAAGAGTTGACCGGAGTTTGACTTTTGTATAGACGACTCCGGAATGGAGTTTTGATGGTTCCGATAGCTCCGTATGGTTATTTGGGACTTAGGTGTATATCCAAAAATTATTTGGAGGTCCGTAGGTTGGTTTGAGGCTTTTTGGAGAAAGTTGGAAAGTTGAAGGTTTGGAAGGTTGAGAGGTTTGACCGAGCGTTGACTTTGTTGATACTGGGTTCGGATTCTGGTTTCGAAAGTTTGAATAGGTCTGTTGTGTCATTTGGTACTTGTGTGCAAATTTTAGGGTCATTCGGAGTTGGTTTGATATGATTCGGCATTAGTTTTAGAAGTTAGAAGTTCAATAATTTTATTAGGCTTGAATTGGGGTGTGATTCGTGATTTTGATATTTTTGATGTGATTTGAGGCTTCGAGCAAGTTTGTATTGTGTTTTAGGACTTGTTGGTAGGTTTGGATGGGGTCACTGGGGCCTCGGGTGTGTTTCAGATGGTTAACAGATAATTTTGGACTTGGAAAGGATTGCTGAAGGTTTATGGCTTCCGATGTAATCGCACCTGCGGTGGGCTTGGCCGCAAATGCTAATCCGTAGGTGTGGCTGAAGGGTCGCTGAAGCGGATGACGGCCTGGCCAAGGGAGCTTCACTGATGCGCGTAGAGTTCCGCAGAAGCGGAGTGTGGCTGGATGGGCTTTGGACCACAGATGCGAAAGGGTTCCGCAAGTGCGTACGCGCAGAAGCACAAGTTGGACCGCAAAAGTGATTGGATGGGATTTAAGTGAAATGCGCAGGTGTGCGCGGTCCCGTAAAAGCAAAAAGTAGGAGCGCAGGTGCGGGATCGCTGGGCAAGATATTACATCGAAGGGTTTGAGTGTTTTCTCATTTTGGGAGATTTGGAACTCGGCGAAGGGCGACAATTAAAAAGGTAAGTGATGTTTAATCACTTATGTTGATAAATATTGATTACCCATTGATTTTTACACCTAGATTATTTGAATTTGAAGTGAAAATTAGGGATTTTAGACCATGGTATGGAGAGTGAGATTTGGTGATTTGAGGGTCGCTTTGTGGATGGA